GATTACTAGAGCTTTGTCGTGTATCTTGAAATCTGGGATTGGGATACCTCCAGCTTTGTTCTACATTCTCAATACTGCTTGGCTATTTGGGGTCTTTTGTGGTTCCATACAAATTTTAGTATTATTTCTTATAGTTTTGTGAAAAATACTTTGGTATTTTGATAGAGATTGTATTGAATCTTTAGATTGCTTTGCGTAGTATGGACAGCTCAATCAATTCTTTATGCATTGTAGCATAGTATTTACAAGCATAGCCTCTGTGTTTCACACTTCGATCTACTGCTTAGTAGTTGAGCAATCTTGAACAAGTTTCTTTATCAGTGCCTCTGTGTATGCATCAATAAAATGGAACGAATAATATTACCTCATAATGTTGCCATGAGAATTAAATGAAATAATGCATATAGACTGCTTAGAGCAGTGTTTGGCTCATGGTAAAAATGGAACAAGTATTAGCAATGATGATGATGGTGGTGGTGGTAGCGGTGGTGATGTTAACTGGAATATCTCCAATATCTACTTATTAAGTATTTTACTCATTCTAAGTCAATTCAAATTCCACCTTCTCTAAGAAGCCATCTCTCCCTTTCCCATATCCCTGTGTGTAGTTAAGTTAACTAAAATACATGTTGGAGTGATGATATTTGGGAGAACAGAAGTACACCTAACTAGCTTCATGAAGTAATAGAGTTTTGACTGAAAATTTTGAATTCAGTGATCATTAATGTAGCAGAGAGAGGAATGGTCAAGTATGAGTGAGGAGGAGGATGCAGTGACATGATAGGAAAAGGCAGAGTATTTATGGGAAAGTATCATGAGTTTTGTTTGGCTATATATGAAGTCATTCAAGGGGGGGAGATATGATTCTGGTGCTGGGGAAACAGGGGAGGTTTAGAGAGATAATTTGTAGTTGTGTCGTGAAATTCCCATGAACAGGTTTTAAGAAATCTTTCCCATTCTTCCATTGCCTGTCTTTTTTATTTTTATACTTATGTGCTGCAACACATTTTATTTTAAACTTTACTGAACTGAATTTATTTATTTATTTTTAAATTTTTTATTGTTACGTTAATCACCATACATTACATCATTAGTTTTTGATGTAGTGTTCCATGATTCATTGTTTGTGCATAACACCCAGTGCTCCCTGCAGAACGTGCCCTCTTTAATACCCATCACCAGGCCAACCCATCCTACCACCCCCCTCCCCTCTAGAACCCTCAGTTTGTTTCTCAGAGTCCATCGTCTCTCATGGTTCGTCTCCCCCTCCGATTTCCCCCCTTCATTCTTCCCCTCCTGCTATCTTCTTCTTTTTTTTTTCTTAACATGTAATGTATTATTTGTTTCAGAGGTACAGATCTATGATTCAACAGTCTTGCACAATTCACAGCGCTCACCATAGCACATACCCTCCCCAGTGTCTATCACCCAGCCATCCCATCCCTCCCACCCCAACCCCCACTCCAGCAACCCTCGGTTTGTTTCCTGAGATTAAGAATTCCTCATATCAGTGAGGTCATATGATACATGTCTTTCTCTGATTGACTTATTTCGCTCAGCATAATACCCTCCAGTTCCATCCACGTCATTGCAAATGGCAAGATCTCATTCCTTTTGATGGCTGCATAATATTCCATTGTATATATATACCACATCTTCTTTATCCATTCATCTGTCGATGGACATCTTGGCTCTTTCCACAGTTTGACTATTGTGGACATTGCTGCTATAAACATCGGGGTGCACGTACCCTTTCGGATCCCTACTTTTGTATCTTTGGGGTAAATACCCAGTAGTGCAATTGCTGGATCATATGGTAGCTCTATTTTCAACTTTTTGAGGAACCTCCATACTGTTTTCCAGAGTGGTTGCACCAGCTTGCATTCCCACCAACAGTGCAACACATTTTTTAAGTAGGCTCTAAGCCTAATGCAGGGCTTGAACTCACAACATTGAGATCAAGACCTGAACTGAGATCAAAAGTCAGATGCTTAAACAACTGAACCACCCAGGTGGTTCTCTGCTACATTAGTGATCACTGAATTCAAAATTTTCAGTCAAAACTCTATTACTTCATGAAGCTAGTTAGGTGTACTTCTGTTCTCCCAAATATCATCACTCCAACATGTATTTTAGTTAACTTAACTACACACATTTTTATAATGGTATCTTACTTATATGTGTAAGATATTGATGTAGTTATCAGGAGGCAAATAAAATCTGTTTTATGGGAAGATGACTCCAAGAAGTTAAAAGAATGGCCCATGTCTCAGGCCATTAGCAGGGAAACCAGAATGTCCTTCTCCAGGTCATTGATGATCGTTTGAGATACTATGCCTTGATATAGACTGTGTGGTGTTCTATTCAAGTCTAGTGAGCTGTATGTGCTGCAATAATGCAGCCATATTGTTCCTTTGGATTATCTGTAGTATTTCATCTGCATGTTCTTCACTCATTAGAGTAGGATTCCTGTCCTGCTCCAACACTTTTTCAGGCCTGGAAAGATTAAGCCCCATTACAGCCAGAATGGTTTGATCCCACTCAACTGTAAGCAGTGAGGACCTTTATCCAAAATAGGCTAAAGCTCCACTGGAGTTATGTAATTAATCCCAGTAAGGTAGCCATATTAAGTAGATTTGTCCATCTGCTGCTTAGGCATGGTATGAATTTTTTGCAAGAAAACCTATATATGGGCACTCTGGGTGGACACAAACCTTTTCCTAATCTTGCTGTGTTCACTGAGCTCCCCTCTTGGTTTTCTTATTTGTACAAGGACTGAGGCTTCCATGAACTTCAACTCAGTTGACCAGGGTTCTGGTACTTTTCTGCCTAGCCTTGACCATCACTGTTCCCAGAAATTATATCCCCCAAGAACTGGCTGAGATTTTCTTCTTAACCAGATATACCAGTAGCAATCAGAACACCACCATGGTTCTGTTGCTATTCTCTGCCCACTGAATTGGACTACCTTTGATACTAGCATAGCGCAAGCCTAGATCAATCCTGCCCATCAGGGATCAATCCTACGTCTGGGGTGGTTTTTTGTAGATCATTTTGCCCATTGCGGATTAGCCTGCTGCTGATACCCCAGCATGCATGAGTTTGTGCCTGCCCAAGACTCTTGAGCTGAGTGTACCCCTAGTCTATCTGACCCTGAGCTTTCCTCTTTAAGAAATATGTGGTAAGAATACAAGACATTCCTTTAAAGGCTGGTCAGATATTTGGCAGGAATTTATCTCACTTCAACTCTTTCTCTTATTTTATTTTAACTTGTCTTTAGTCAGGATATATAATTGCCTTTAAATTATTTTAGATGCAAAAATCTGTTTTGTACATTTCAAGTATCTTCAGTTTTCCACAACTGTCATTGAAAGCCCTTTCTGATGGTTTTTAATTCTTTTTGTTGTTGTTGGTAAGTGTGACCCTTCAGCCGTTTGCATTGTACAGCCAAGCTTAATAGACAGGCTGAAATTCTAGGCTCTGAGCCTCCCAGGTGGCTCAATAGAGACTCAAAGAGCCAATGCAAGAGAAAAAGGAAAATATAACAAAACGAGACCAAAGTGAACCAGAATAAATCATCTGACTTCTTATATACATTTGCATCTATTTCTAGACTCTGTTAATCTGCCATTGTTCTCTCTATCCCAGTGCTAATACTACACTCTTTACTGTAACTCTGTAAGGCAGAGTTACAGATATATTAATATCTGGTAGGGCAAGACTGTCTTCATTAAGGAAGTCTTTCTCAGCAAAATATGATAAAAGGGAACCTCTCTATTCTGATAAAGGATATCTAGCAGAAACCTGCTGCAAACATGATGTTTAATGGAAAATTTTCAAAGCATCCCCATTAAAGTTAGGAATAAGACAAGGCTGCAAACTCTCACTGCATCTATTCAATATTGTAGAAGTCCTACCCGTAAGACAAAAAGAGAACTAAACGATAAAAGGATTTGAATAGAAAAAACAAAACTGGCATCGGATGACATGATTGAAAGCATAGGCATTTGGAAAGAATCTACAAATTAACTACAAGAACTAATATGGATGCTCACCAACCTTCCTGAGTACAAGATCAAAATATCAAAACCAGTTAGATTCCTGTAAATTCAGGAAGCATGACTTTTTTTTTAGATTTTTATTTTATTTTATTTATTTATTTGAGAGAGAGAGAGCACATGAGACGGGGGGAGGGTCAGAGGAAGAAGCAGGGAGCCTGATGCGGGACTCGATCCCGGGACTCCAGGATCATGACCTGAGCCAAAGGCAGTCGCTTAACCAACTGAGCCACCCAGGCGCCCGAAGCATGACTTTTCAAAAGCTTCCATTTACAATAGCAACATAAACTATAAGATGCCTTTAGAGTTTGAGGGGGCCAGATAATACACTCTTACTTCTCCCTCACCTGAGCTTGGAAACCAATTGAAAGATGGACAAAGTCAGAGAGAGGGGACATCAAAACAGGCAGAGACTTAAAGAGAGTAAGGGATTGAGACAATAATATCTAGGAAAAGAGATTTCAAGTAAAGGGGTTAGAGAGTGCCAAGATTCCTAGGTAGGAGCATGTGTAGTGAGCTGGAGCAATACTACGGAGGCTGGGTGTGGCAGGAGCGAGAAGTGGGGGGCTGGGGAGGCAGCAAAGTGATTGAGGTCAGGGAGGTCAACTGAGGTGAGGAAGGCAGCCAGGGACTCAACTGATCAATCAATCTATAGATCATTTAGGGTCTTTTAAGCTTGGTGAGAGGAAGGTGATGGGGGGGAGACTTTACGTAAGATTTTTTTTTTAATTTATTCATTTGAGAGAGAAAGAGAGAGCATGAATAGGGGGAAGGGCAAGAAGGAGAGGGAGAAGCAGATTCCCCGCTGAGCAGGGAGCCCGATGCAGGACTCGATCCCAGGACCCCGGGATCATGACCTGAGCCAGAGGCAGACACTTAATAGACTGAGCCACCCAGGCGATTTTGAGGAAGAGTGTCATGACCACACTTTTGTCCTAACAGGCTTCTTCTGAATGCTGGAGAATGAACTGTAAGGGGCAAGAGAGGAAGCAGGGAGCCTGGTGAGGAGCTGTTGATGTAGTCCAGGTAAGAAATGGCCATAGCTACATTTGGATGATAGACGTGGAGATAGTGAGAAATTGTTGTATCAAACATTAGACAGTGATTCATGCAAATAATTAATTTAAATTGGCATGAGTGTTAAGAAAGAAAAAAGTTAAAATGCTCAAAATGAACATATTAGGAAAAAAAATCTTTGCCATAATCTAGCAAAAAATGAACAGCTTAAAACATAAAGAACTCATTACATCTGATAGGAAAACACAAAGTCCACTATAGTTAAAGTGTCTGTTCTGCTTGCCTTTGTGAACTGATTGATATCCATTCACGTACCTCAAAACAGATCCTAGACAAGGATGTTGACTTATAAAAATCCAGTGACATTCAGAGAGGAAAAGAGAAACTTTTCAAAGTAGATTGAATTTATTCACTGGATCAGAAAGGATTGCGCTTCACTTCTGAGAGTCACAACAGTCCAAGTACTTAAGAGTTAAAAAACACAAATAGCATATTTTAGTTTAATCTAGAGGATATTAATAGAATTTTCCATCTAGTTTGTATTGTTGTCATTTAAAATGTTCCCAATGGAATATTTTATATGTGAAGAATCTAGAAAATGGAAAGGAAGGGGGCACACCAGAGTTGCTGGGCCCAGCTAGCAGCATCGGGACAGGCAGATACAACACCATCAGTGGAAACGTGCTGGAGAAGAAGTGAATAAAGAAAAAGGGGGAATGACAGAAGTCACGAGATAGCTACCCAGCCATGGGGATAAGCTCTTGGGAAACACCCCAGGGACTCTGAGCAATCTTTTTGGAAGATTTTGCTGGAAGGTGACATTGCTACCTTACGAAATTTCCCACTCAAAGAATTATTTTGAAAAGTAGAGTAAAACACCACTGAAGATAGAGGTCATATTTAGAGGAGCTTGGGTTTGCAATTAAACAAAGCAAATGCTTGTTCACCTCTCCCGAGAGTTCAAGAGCATAACTCACACTGATAGCATCCGTACCTGCCTGGTTACAAAAGGCCTTCTTCACATTTAAAAAGGAGGCTTGAGGCACATGTAGTGTAGAATCCATTTATGAGTCTAGGGCCGGTGGAGAGCCATAATTAAATCCTTCTCAGCCTCTGGCTCCTCCACTTACCAGCTGTGTGAGCACCACAGCAATCTAACCCCTTTGTTTTCAGCTTTTTGTTGTCAGTGTTAACATTTTAAAATAAATATATCATGTTTAGAGTACTGTTTTTGAAAAGTCTTTATTATAATAAAATTAGTTATTGAGAAAAGAGGTGACAGCTTGCAGAGTTGCCTTTAAAAAGCCAGCAAACACTATATGATTATATATACCTTATAAATAACACATATGTATGTTATATAGAAACATATATATGTTATCGGGAGAAATGGAACCAAACAGCTTGTGCATCAAGAACCCCAGCTCTTAAATATCCCTGCAGATCTGCTGTCATCATCTTAAAGGGAATCAAAATTAACTGTGAATATTGGTGTTTATTTCCCATTGTTTCATTTCAATGGGTGTAGTTTCTGAGTCAGCCTACCACCCAAAAAGAATTGAGGGAAGAATCAAGTTGCCTCTGAAGACAGGAGCACAATGCTGGTGATGAAGAGGGGATCTGAGCTAAGGTAGGGCCTCAAAGTCCCCCTGGTGTTTTTGCCAAGACATCCTTCCTAGGAAGATGCCAGATTTGGACCACTGCCCTGTGCAGAGTGCTCTATTTCCCTGACCCTGGATGATTTTATAAATGTGCAGAGACGATACTGGAAAGCCTATATGATTGCTGGGGATGCTGGAGCTCTAAATGGGGTGGTCCCTGCAATGCACTCCCCTTCTGTGCCCACAGTGTCCCCCCCCCGCCCCCCCCCCCCCCCGGCCGACACTGCCAGGCCCAAGCTGCTGTCCCCAGCTGCTGGATGGTCCGCCCTGCCGTTCTATTGTTAGTACTTTATTCCTGTTAGGGTGGCTCCCTTGGTCAAGTGCAGGCCATGCATCCACCCCAACCTCAAAGGAGACTGAGAAGATGAGTTTTCCCTACAGCGGTCATAAGATAGGGAATTCCTCACACGGAAGGGTTCCAATGCAGGGCTGTAAAAAACAAAAACAAAACACAAAAATAACCTCCCAAGGATGTCCACGACATACCAGGTTTAAGATGCAGGATGTAGTTCATTGCTGTCAAATTCAGGACATGGCAACCATTCGCATCAAATTGTTCAAACTCCCTGGCTGCTGGTAAAGAAAAACCCCAATCTACAGTTAGAAACTTTGAGCCTTTTCCTTAATTCTGCATTGGTGTTCACGAAGCTGTTGTACCTTCTTGTCAACAAGTGACACTTTGAGAGCTTTTTTTGGCCACTTCCTTTTATGAATGACTTGTGGATATAGGTCCATGCACAGCCATGCCCCCTTGTTGGCTGTTGTTGCAACGTGTGATGGAAAACTGCCACACACCCTGCGGATCAGGCTCTGAACAAGCTCTGCTCAGATCTTAGTGGGCGGTTGTGGGAACCTTGAACGTGGGGTTAAGGGAGAGTGAACAGGGGGTCTACACGCTCGAAACGACACTGTGTATGCAAATAAGAAACAAATTAAAAGGCCAAACTAAAAGACCAAAGATGTTTTCTTCCGTCTTCATATTTTGTAAACCGACATCTGGATGTTTACATTATTTGCAAGAGAAAGAAATCCTTTAGCAGAGCTACCTGCTAAGCGTTGACCCCATGTAAGCCAACCCATTTACGGTACAGAAAATAAGTACACTTTAAATAAATCTGGCTTGTTCCAGACTGCATCTGTGCATCTCACAATGATTACAATGAGAGAAGAAAAGGGAAAATAAAGAAAAGAAAACGTATGACGGTGGAGAAAGGTAAACTATTTGAGCGATCTGACGTTGGATACCATGTGCAATATCTAGCCAAGCCTATCTGTCATAGCGGGTTTTGTGGGTTTTTGGTTTTGTTTTCCCAATGAAAGTGGGTATCTGGCAGCCTTCCCGTAATTTGTGGGATGCAAATAAAGCACTGCCTCTACCCCGAGTGGTCAGCCGACTCTCCTAAAGTTTCACTTGGTAGTTCCTTTTTAACAAAATCTAAGTCGCAGAAAGGCCTCCCCACCCTTTACATGTTTTTCCTTTACTGTTGCTCACAGCTGACTCATGTCAGTGGTCACTTAAAGTCTGTTTTTCTTGTTGTTTACCCAAGTGTTGGAGATGTGTCTTGCAGATGGCAGATTGTTTTAATGTTGGCTTATAACAAGTCATGTCAATCAGTTTGCACTTCAGATATACTGAGTGCCAACTGAGCTAGGGGAGGGTTAACTTTTGGGGTGAGAAGTCTTTATGATATTTTAGGGAAAAAAAATTATATTGGCCTTAAAAAAAACCCTGTGCTTTCAAAAGGAGGAAGTGTTTTTTCAGAACCCAACAGTAGAGAGATAAAACTAGAATAATTCAGTTTAGCTTCTTAGGCCTGGGGTTCCTCAGCAGACATGATAACAGAATGTAAATATTGATATCCAGCTGTCAGCCTATTGGCCTTCCTCACAGAGGTTAGGAGAACTTGGCCTCTCTTGCTGAGAGCTGGCTAAGGGCAGCCAGGAAATTCAGAAGAGAATATATTTATCGGGTTTTTTTCCCTTCTAAGTTTGAGACTTAAACAACAACAACAACAACAACAAAAACACAGAGGAAATACAGGGCTTCCTCCCCAGCGGGTCTTATTAGCTCTGCTACTATCTTTCCCATCGGTCACAGTTCCATGGGACGAAGCAGTTGGCTCTTCCTGAGCACTTTTCTAGGAAGTTAAATTGGACTTTGGTGGGGAGTACCTTATCTGACTTGGCTGTAAGGCACAGAGCTTGACTTTGAGAGCTGCAAGCTCACCACTGGCCTCCTTGCCTCGCTGCCGTCTCCCCCTGCTTTTGCTTCCGTCCCACTGAGGTCTGCCTTCCCCTTTACAGCCTGAGTGAACCTTCCAAGGGGCCAATCCCGTTGGAGTGGCCTGTATTTAGAGCTCTGACTGGGCCCATGTGTAGTAGAATGTTTTCATTTGTTTTATACTCTGACCAGTATACAAATGAAAATAGGGGGTGAAGGTAAGTACTGTGATGGAACAAAACAGGAAAGGGGGAAAAATGACTGAAACTACTTTATATAGGCTCAGGGAGAGCCTTGCTGACGAGGCGACATTTTTGCTGGGATCTGAATTGAAAAGATGCAGCTGGCCATTTGAAGATTTGAGGGAAGTTAAGTCTAGGAAGAAGAAATAGCAAAAGGCCCTAGAGCAGATATTTGGAAAACACTGGAGCCAGGGGGAGAAGAAGGACTGGGGTCTCAGGCATTGGTGGCACAGGGCACTTGGAGTTGTGAAGTCTATGGTAAGGACTGTAGATCTTGTGTCCTCAGTGATGGTAGACTTTTAGACAAGGGAGTTATGTCTCTCATGGTTCGTCTCCCCCTCCGATTTCCCCCCCTTCATTTTTCCCTTCCTGCTATCTTCTTCTTCCTTTTTTTTTTTTAAACATATAATGTATTATTTGTTTCAGAGGTACAGGTCTGTGATTCAACAGTCTTGCACAATTCACAGCGCTCACCATAGCACATACCCTCCCCAATGTCCATCACCCAGCCACCCCATCCCTCCCAACCCTCACCACTCCAGAACCCTGTTTGTTTCCTGAGATTAAGAATTCCTCATATCAGTGAGGTCATATGATACATGTCTTTCTCTAATTGACTTATTTCGCTCAGCCTAGTACCCTCCAGTTCCATCCACGTCGTTGCAAATGGCAAGATTTCATTCCTTTTGATGGCTGCATAATATTCCCTTGTGTATATATACCACATCTTCTTTATCCATTAATTTGTCTATGAACATCTTGGCTCTTTCCATAGTTTGGCTATTGTGGACATTGCTGCTATAAACATCTGCTATGGACTCTGAGAAACAAACTGAGGGTTCTAGAGGGGAGGGGGTTGGGGGATGGGTTAGCCTGGTGATGGAT